ACGCTTGTGATCGATGTACATGGCAAATCCTTTGTCATCTTTGCCTGCGGATTTCGGGAGAAAAATGTTTGGGTATATGCTCAAGAGAGTGTAGAAACCGTCTCATCGAGTATAGAAATTCATGTAAAACTCAAGAGATATGATTTTTAGCACTACGTGGAATGTAGAGCCATTGTTTAGTTTGAAATTGCAAGTTTTTTGAAGCGTGGTGGAAAATTCTGTTTTTTTTTTTTCATTTTTTCCAAAATTTTAAAGATTTCTTTTTCATTTTCTGAGTGTTTTGTGAATAATCAACATTCTCTATAACATTTCAGACTGAATGGCATTTTGCTTTAAATTTAGCGCAAGATTCGAACTACCGATGCCAAATCGGAATTCAATTTTGTCTTTTCCATCGGAATTCTCAACGAGCTTCAAATAAATTCCAATTTTCTGTTCACTCACCAAGCATTTGATCTCTGGCCACATCAATTCGGGCAATGCCAAATGTTGGATCTGTATCGGCTGTGTATTTATTAACCGTAAATTCCCAATAATGAATTCCTCTCGAAAATCCAACCGATCCAAGTGCAACACGATGATCCCATCCATCCACTGAAACCGTTGCTAAATCATTGGAAAATGTTAAACCGCTACCGCTTGCATCGCTCAGCTCCGGATCGAATGTGAACCATGCAACTGTTTGATGGAAAATGTGCAAAAACATGTTTATTTTCGCAATTGGAAGCCGAAAAATGGAGAAAGCAATAATTGCATAGCAATTTGAATCATTTGATTGTGGTGTATATTACCTTCGGCCGTTTGTAAGCAAATCATTGCTGAATATTCACCCTCACAGAAACTATTGAACGCTTTAACACGTGCATTATACATTGAATTGAAGTGCAATCCATCTACCGTGCAAATGGTTTCCTTTCCGCAGTACACTTCCTATAACACATTTAAAAGTAGAAGAGAATCTCTTAATTTGAATGAATGGTTTGGCAAAATTCACTTTTGATGCAGAAAATTCAGTTTTCAAGTGAAAAATAATTTCTCTGGAGGAAAATCAAATTTTCTGCTTAAAATCATTTTTCTTTAGGTGAAAACCGCGCTTAGAGCGTATAAGAAAGGGAATCATGTGTTTTCAACTAACCCGAAATTCGCCGCCACTGCCATCGTCCAATTCGAGCACGTATCCATCATTTGACAGCGGATTCAAGGCTTTCCAGGCCACCGTAACCGAATTATTTACGGTCGAACATTCTTCATGAATAATGGTCGGTATCGACGGTACTGAAAAGAAAAACCCGAAAAAATCACGTAAAATGAATTCAAATTTTCCGTAATGAAAGTGAATCAAATTTGCTGGGATGAAAATGAATGCAAATGAATTAATTTGAATTGAAGAAGGAGGTGACGCATTTCAAGTGATGAGATTAGTAAATAATTACCTGTTTGTAAGCGCTCTTCGCAGTCTCTGCCCGCTGAAATACAAGGAGAAATTGAATTAAACCTTTTTTCTTTGAAAAAAAAACGATTTATTTCATATAACTAAATCAATTTGAGAGTAGAAAAATCTAATTAAATCGTTTTTTTTTCACATACAAATCTATTTGCGATAGAAAAAAAATTGAAACTTAACATCAAATGAATACAAATTAATGCAAAAAAGCCTTACATTTGATTTGAATAAAATTGAGATTGTCGATGGCGCGTTTCACCGATAAATCGTCGAGCGTGAGATCGATAATGGGTGAAACGCGTGGTGCCGCATTCGTTACCTCCTGATGCCATCTGACATCGGTGTCGGCGACGCGATTTATAAGCGCTGCTCCCACCTACGATAAAAAAAAGCCCAAGATTAATTAGACGTATTTATGGTGTTCGGCATTTGTGTGTTTGTGTAAAATATTTGGTAATGGCACCGCATTTTGGAATTTGAAATGCGGTGCTACAGATGGTTCAGATGTGTGCGGTACCTGTAGAAAGGCTGCATTATCAGTCTCTTTGAGTGCTTCGATACAAAACTGTATTAAACCTGTAGTCTGTTGCAATTTACTGGTACAATTAATTTGCTGCTCCTGTGTGTGTATGGGTTTGTGTGCATATTCAAAAATGAAAACCAATTAATAGCAGGTGATGCTGGTAACAGCAGTGACGCGTGACGCGTGACGCTTGTCTATACATTACCTTTAGTATTCGCAATTTGTGTTCTTTATCCATTTCAATGGTCTCTAATAGGTATTCACGTCGCTCTTGAATCATTTGAATTAGGGCCTCACATTGCATGATTATCAATTGCTCGAATTCATGGCACGATTCCTAAAATATTTTGCATCAATTAAATTTAAATGCACACACACAATTTGCAATAAATGCTTGGGTTTTAATTAAAAGAACACAGGCAGGCAGACACAATCAATGCAAATGGTAAAGAAAAACATCACATTTACCGTCACTTTATCGCTCATCCCTTTAAGTCGCTGGATGAATTCGGTTGTCGAACGGGCCTTCTCCGATAATTGCTGCAAATTGTGCGATAGTTCCGTCTGAATGAACGTGAAAATTTACAATTTGATTATTTCAAGTGGCCTCAAAGCCTCAACCCATCTTTAATACTCAAATAATTGCATTTAAATTAGCTCAAATCATTTTGTAATCGATTCGCTTGTGCAACGTATATCTCAATTTTGACCGACATCATCAATCAACGCAATCGTTGTTCAATAAATACAGAAAAAAAACCATGTTCTATTGATCAGTTGAGTGGAACAAATTGTTGACGGATCCCATCAATGTAAATCGAAATATACACACACACACACACACACTCGACCATTTTGCTCATTCAACCATTGATAAACGTTGATTACCCATTAAATCGGTATGGGCCCGAGAGTCGGAAGACTCTCAATTGCTAGCTAGATCTCAAGCAACAAAAGCATCCACTTGACAAAATTATTCAATAGGTACCAAGCGTACTCGGCGATTGTTTACTTACACGATATCATCGATTTTATATGCAACCATTCAATGCTATACAAATGCATCGAAGATGCTTTACCCAGGAGATTAACTTTTACGCCATTGAATGCGATGAAAGACGGAGATTTATTCAAGACATTTGAGAAGGATTCCTATTGAAGCTGTATTCATCTTTATGGAAGATGAATCGTATGAATCGATTTTATACGGTGTGAATTACTGTTGCACGTACCAATGAATTCGGAAGCCAAACAAATGAGTATTTTGAACGAGAATCGGATAAGTACTCTCTAGCACAGTTTTACGGTCGGACTTGAGTGGTTATTAGTCGATTTCAACAGCCATGCAAATTGAGATTGGCGCGATATTTGTCCAATCTTTCTTCTTTTTGACTACATTTTTTGAACTTTTCAATCTCAATTTCAACGCGTTTTTTTCTTTTCTTCGCTTGAACAATCGATTCAAAGTGGACTTTATTTTGTTATGTCCAGGTTTGTTTCGATTTGACCATTTTTTTATCTTTTTCTTCAGTTTTAAGTTTTTTTATTTTCTTCTTTTTCAATTTTTTTGTTTTTTTCGATTTTTTCTTCCAATTTTCTTCAACTTTGTTCTCATTTCAACGCAACAATTTTGAACGAATTTGAAAGACATTTTCGTTCATTTCTTCATATTTCCTTCATTTTTTTTAGTTTTTCTTAGAATTCCCCCCTTTTTTTTCAATTTTTTGCATTTCTTCTATTTTTCTGTATTTCAAACAATGTTCCTTCATCTCATAAATTCTTGGTCATTCTTCGAATCTTTCTTCATTTTCATTTTTTTCAATTTTTTCCAATGTTCAATTTTCGTTAATTTCCTTCATTCAATCAATTTTTCTTTCTTTTTTCCTTATTTTTTCGTTAAAATCACTTGTTCGTCCTTATCAATGCTTACTAAGCCTGCTTATATGTATTACTATAAGCATTGCTTAGCCTGCCTCAAGTGTGTAGGTGTACGTTAACTATTTACGTTAACTGTAGGTGTACGTTGTATTTTGAATTGTCCCAGAAAAAAATGGTTTTCATTGAAGCAAAAACGTTGTTGATGTTGAAAAATGAATTACAGCGAAATTTATTTACGTACATAAAGAATGGTAGATTAAAGCACAATAAATCAATATGAAGCGTGTGTAAAAGAACTGGGCAAAATGCGAGAAAATCAATGATTCAAATGAAAAGAAGTACAATTTGAAGTGGGTGTTTAAGTGAAGACTTGAAAATAAATTGAAACGACAGCGCCCGTATTCAAATCGGAACAATTGTGAAAGATTTTATTAAAATTTTCAATTGAATCAAATCGATTTGTTCGTTTCAATAATCAAGTGGTTGTGTCGTGCTGGACAATGTGCTTCAAGAGACTTAATTTAATTATGGGATAAATGGTTGGATTAATGATCGCACTATTTTTATATTATGCACGAGGTCAATGAACACGAATGCCATGACAAAATGCAATTCACTGATTCACTCCTCGTTTTCTATTCTTTTTTTTTCTTTTTAAATATTTTTTCACTTTTTCTTTTGTTCGTTGTTTTTTCATTCTCTGCTTTTTTCCTTCCATTTACATTCATTTTTCTCCATTCACTCTCGTTAGTTCATTCTTTTTTCATTAAAAATGCTGTCTCTTTCTCTCTCTCTCTCTCTCTCTCTTTCAACTCACAGTTCACTCAATGCCATTCAAATGTGTTGGGTTAAATGCCTGTTGGCTAAATGAAAACCTCATATCTTTATTAAACGAGATGAAATATTCATCAATCATGATTTACACGTTGCACTCTCTGCGTGACTCCAACTTAATATCGCAATTTAAATGCAAACATCAGCAACGACAAGCAGCGGACAAAAAAAGGCTGCGAGTGTTGGCTGTGAGCAGGCGACGCGAGCACGTCGTACGAAAAGGGGAAAAAAATCAATTTATATAGGCCTGAGTGAGGGCAAACAAAAGCAAAAAAGAAAAGAACCTGAACGAAAGCATTTTACCTTTTGTGATTTGCAGATTGTGGCGATTGATTGAATTTCATGCGACTGATGTCGATTATCACTTAAACACTGTTGGCATAAAGCTATTTTACACGTTAAACAGAACACGGACAACAGTTCGGTGCAATGTTCAATGCATACGGATTCACGTATGGTTGTTGCACCGCCACGCGGTGCCACTAACTGATGCTTTGCCAATGGGCCACGAGATGGATGACACAATTCACGGCAACTATCACAATATCGAATTTCGCATTGTTCACACACAACGGCCGCTATCTTTGGCTCAACTTCGCACATTTGACATCGTAACGCTTCGCGTTCACAAAATCGATCGATTATCGATTCCATGGTGCGATATGGGGCTAAATTTCGTGCACCGCCATCATCAAAGAATACAATTTTCCGACAAATGGGACAGGTTAATGAGTAAACGGCACCGCCAGTCGGCGGAAAGAGAGCTTGTAAATTTGGCGTTCCAGCATATGAACTTGGTCGCGACGTACAAATCACACCTGAATCGGCTTCACTCAATATACTAACTTTATCGGCAGTGTCTTGATCCGATGAAATGCTCTCGGATGCGCTTGAATTGCCCGTACTGTTGCCGGATGTAGAATTGTTTCGTGGTAATGTCGATGCAGCTACAATGGATGCTGTTGTTGTTGTTGATGTTGCTGACGATGGTGGCGGTGGTGAGGGTTGATGACTGGCAGGTGGTTGATGAATTTGGGCTGTGACTACTGTTGTCGTTGAAATACTCGTACTATTATTATTATTATTTGCAATTTGTACCTGACTGTCCAACGCACATGTTAAACACAGCCCGTGATAGCATGGCAATAACACTGGATTTACGTAGAGCTCTTTACACAACGGACACCGCAATTCTTCCTCCATCGCATACACCAACACACAACAATCACGCAACGAATTTTACCGACAGAAAAAAAAATCCACTTTCGTGTGTTAAATTTACTTGGGCGGTTGCGTCGGCCTCTGTCCAAAAATTCAATTTCAAACGCTTTATTTGCTCTTTATACTCTTCGTTTAAGGGTGGATATTCCTCATCGATGTAGAAACAAAAATATTTTTGTTTTCGCTTTCGGTCGTGCAAATATTTACTATGGAGTTTTTTTTCACGGATACAACACCACATATGCCATTCGACTGTGTATGTTTGTAGTCTTTTTCCAACTGTTTACAATTATTTGCACTCAGTCAGATAAACTTCACACGAATTGATTATTACAAACTGTGGACTGTGTCGTCGACATCGTTGCCATCGTCGTCATCGTCGTCGTTACTAATGTTTTGGTAATTTCGGTACGTGCACTATGCCGAATGCTATTTTATTACTTTGCCAGAGCGCTACACTTGAAATGAGAATCAAGTGTGTGTATGAGCGAGAGTGAACGAAGCAACGGAGAGAAATATTCCAAGCATTTCAACTATGTTGTTGATGAAGCGACCGAAAAATTAACAAAGAGAAATTCACTGCTGCATATGTTCATGTTTATGGTTTTTCGATATTCGTACACTTTTTTCACACTATTTCGCAATGGTATTGATATTTTTCGTGCTCTCCCCGACGAGAGAACCCTTCAATTGCCTTAACGCATTTACTTTAATTCTATCGATAAACACACAGTAGATCTGCAATGCAAAATGCTCGGTCGTCGACGTCGTCGTCTAAGTGTACACAAATCCAAGTGCCATCGATGCGGTAGCCAAATCAAACACAAACACAAAATTTCCTAAAATGGTTTTCCGATTAATCCCAAGCAAGAAAAATAACATGGATTTTTGTCAAATAACACTAAAAGTGAGAATGATGACACCAAAATCACTGACACTACACGAGAGACAGAGAGAGAAAAAAAATCTCCAAGTCTTTGGAAGTTTATATAAATTGAAGAAGTTGTTTCCACCAAAAATGATGACAACAAACGAAATGCCGTTCAACGAAAACACGACCGACTCGATTCACTACTGAGCATAAACTGAAATATTGATGAGAATGAAGCGAAATGGATGCGATAACATCGAATGAACTGAGATTGGCATTGCAACCACAGCCATGCGCAATGAATGAAGAGAGAATTTGTTTTCGGTTTAGACCAAGTGGTATAAATGTGACGGAGGGTTCAATTTGGTTGATTCACGATTAGCAATCGACCCTTAGCAGATGCACGTACGGTTGTTGTGCACAATATACGACCCTCGACACATGTGGCTGCTATTCACAATAGTCGACGGAGACACTCGACTCTATGCAGACGGTCTTGTATATGACTGGAAGTCGCATTAATCTGATTCTTGTAGTATAGACACTTAGCACAAGGACAAACCAATAAAATAAGACATCTAGCGGCACATGGGCTAATCAACCATTTTAGTACTGGAAAGATTAATGCCCACATTTGTGCCTACATTCATTCGACGAGTGTGTACGATACAGCTTACTGTGCGATGAATTGAACGAAGGGTTCTTCAGTCTTATGGCAGCAGTATGTAGTGGAAATGTATGTACCGTGCACAAGCTGATGGAAATTTGGAAAAGAAATAGATGTGAAACTTAGAGCATGGTGTGTTGCACACACTCACGTAGATTTATAGCAAGTTTTGTATGTTACTTGCTCAAATGAGTGCAGAAACGAGGTGTATGTGATGGATTGGATATTCGTATGGCACTTGAACAATGTCAATAGCAGGCAATGTTGATGCACAGCACATTGCCCATACTTGTAGAAATGAAGTGTACTGTGCTAGGTACTGAGCGGTTGGAGTACTCCGCAATATGTGTTGAAGCATGCAATTCTCCTGATATGACTGTTTTTACACACGAAAGGAGAGCTCACTTTGAAATACGTATGCCAAGTAGAGTCACATGAATGAGTGGAAAAATTAATTCTAGAATATTTGTATCGAAATATAAAAAAAGACTTCATTTTTTGTGGTGGGCTAGCGAATAACATTTATTGAAAGTTGATATTCACTTGACTTTGAATCGATAAACATTCTGGAAAATTCCAGACTACCAGAAAAAGTTCTGGTTGTCACTCATTGTAAATGACATTCAACGTCATTAAGCCAAGAATCGAAACGAGTCCTCATCTATATCTAAATTCAAATGAAATAATACATAAGCTCCGTTCATTATCTAAAAAAAACCGCTCAACTTGAAAGTATTGAAATTGATTCATACACGTCTCGTAGGAATTATTCAATTTTTCAAAAACTGGTGGTATCTTATGACGAAGGAAAGGCGAAAATAATTGTATTTGCTCCTGGGATAGCGCAAAAATACTTGTAACGATGCAATCAAACATTTTTGCAAATCGATCGACATAAATTTCAGAACGTACATCAAACTCGACGAGAAAGCAGTCACATCAGCCACAATGAGTGCCAAAACTAATGCAACGTACGATCGTTTCTTCCATTTGCTAGTGGTTTTATCCGTGGGCAAACATATTTAGCTTACTGAATTTACTTTTTGTGTGTTTATCAAAGACAAAGACGGTTTTTCATATTTCAATTTAATTTCATTCAAATCGATTTGCTGTCATATACATTTGTTTGTTTTTGAAATGTTATTTTCAAAGTGCATTTGGTTTTATAACAATTCAATGTTCAAAAGCTATATATAGTCAATAAAACCTCTTTAAAATGACTGATTCAAGTTAATTCATTGCTATTTCAATAAAAGAATGCTTCGAAGAAAATGCATTTGCATTTAAATTTTTTCATATCAAGTTCAATGTAGAAGTCAACATTAAACTCTCCAAATTATTCATCCGTTAGCGTCTTGAACATTAGATAATAACTTATGACCGTTTTGAGTAACTGAAAAATAAAATATTTCGAATAATTTCAAACTCTTCGTCCATAATGTTCAATTGTTCTGACTCATGGCGGAAATAAAATAATAGTTTAGACGTTAAATGAAATATTAAAAAAAAGTGTCACCTTCAAATATGTTTGCAAATCCAAGTGAACAATGCGTGATCCGTGATAGAAGAGCGGTCGTTGAGCATTGGCGATCTTATTATTAGTAAAATGAAAATCTCTTTGGTTTCATAATAATGGAAATATTTTTTGTAAATGAATCAGAAGACCAATTAGATTTGTACAAACCATCATTTTAATGAATTTCTGTAGTTCAACCGATTGTTCGTTCCAATTTGATTCAAATAAAATGTGAGCCATTTGCGAGTAGTCAGTGAATGAACGATTTCCGTAATAGCAATAGAAATACAAATTTGCTCCACTCACCAACAGCGCCATCAAAACCATGTAGAAATTCAAATCCGGATGTTTAATGGCCTGATTCGAAATAAAAGTGCATCAAGTTAGTGAAGAAAAATGCACAAAAGTTTTCACTTCTTTGGCATTTTGTATCAAATTGAGAATTGGACATTTTTTATAGGTTTTTTTTTCTTCTGATTATGCTGCATAATTCATACTGACCATATCCATTTGAAAAACGCTGCAGGTCATGTGAAGAACGATGCAAATCATTTGAGTGAGGAGAATCAAGCTGTAAACGTCAGATGTCTCCCAGAAGAAACTGAAATTTTGAGTTAAACAAATGGGGAATTTTTTTTTCTTAAAATTCTTTGAAGAAGAATCATTTGGATCAATACAATCTCTATCTATAGAGAGATGAACAAACGATAAATGAATATATTTGTGATTTGCACCTAGATTCAAACAGTTCAACAAAAAAAAATTAAAATTTCCAAATTAATCGTTGGCTCAACCGTTTTAGCAAAAAAAGATTTGATTATCCCACACAAGAGAAGCTCTCTCCAAATTACCTCTTGATGGAAATGTGATATCGAATCACGTCGCAGAACATCAATTTAACTCGACCGCTTTCATTCATACTCTGAATCTGCTTCATCAAATGTGCAAAATACAGAACAAACGCCCGATGATATTCACAAATTGCAATGTAGAAGGTAAGAAATACCATGTTCGTGTGTAAATATAGAGACGATGATATAACACTGAACACCGTTTCGCCAGTCCATCCGCTCAATGTTTGTTGATTCCAAGGCAAGCTGAAAAGTGATTAGATGAAAGAGAAATTATTTTACTGAAGACTTTGAAAAGCAAGTAAAACAAATGAAATATTTGAAAAATTTGAATGTAAATATTTGAACAAATGATATTTACATGAATTTAAACGGGACATAAAGTTGTTGGACGACAATGAATCCATTTATGAGGTAACAGTACAGTGCACTCAGAACAGCAAGCATAATTGATGCAAGAAAATAGCCTAAGGTGAGAAATTTCATGACATTGCTAGTGATCCATTCACCATTTTGATTGGCTTTTGCCAAAAAGTTTGAGGAATCCTTGACGCGGTCTAGAGAGTAAAGAAAAAAGAATGAAAATTGATTTCAATTTCATGAGCTATCTAAAAGAATAATTTCAAAAAAATGTATTTTAAACAAATTCTTCTAATTTCCAGGAATTATTTTCATCATAATGATTGTGGAAAGAGAAACAATCAACTACTCACTTTCATCGTAAATGGTTTGAAGTTTCGTAAACGCAAACATTATTTTGTGCTGGACCATAAAACCGACAAGTAAACTGTACGTCGAGCTGCTGTAAGCTGACGTGTGAAAACCGGCGTACAACACACTATTCAAATCGATTCGAATGAACTTGATAATAAACCATATACTTGATATGAGCCCAAGGATCTGAAGTAGCAACACCAAAATATAAATGACTTTGAAAATGGTACTCCATTTGCTGTTTGGTGCCGGACAAACACCGAGCAAAATCAGAAATTTCCGGTTCAATTCCAGCACTTTCATTTTTTTTTTATCACTGAGTTGACTTTGAATGTTAGAGTTTCCTAGATTAAATTCCAAACAGTATAGCGCCTTTAGGGATTTGAAGGAACTGAATAAATTTCGGCTATTGCTGAATTTTTTTATACTGTGGCAAAGCGATGCCAAAAATGTCAAGGAGTATTTGAAACTAGTCATTACTTCTTCACGTAAAATGGTTGAACTGAAATTATAATATAAGGAGGCTCATCATTTCTTGTACTTTAAATTCAATGTGCATCAAAATACAGTTGAAGTGTGCGAGATATAAACTAATATGAACGAAAAAATACAAAAGAAATCACAAGAAAAACACAAATCTACAAAAGAAATCGTTTTACTTCAATCATTTGATATTTTAACAGCAGATCTAATTTATAGTCAACGAGGTTTGTGAAAAAAAAAACGGTAATTTTCCCATCAAAATCAAGTCTAAATGACCAACGAAACTGGCAAATGTGAAGAATTCACTTAAAATAGCACTAAAACTTGTGTTTTCTTTTGTGAATGACAAAGCAAGGGTACTAACGAAACGAAAGGAAAATAAGGACAACCTTGGAATGAGTTTACACTTGAAAAATAGAAGGGACAAATACCGCAAAGGAAGCTAATGGATAAAAAATGTGACGTTAATGAGCAATTACAGGGAGGTGAAACCATGAAAATTGGTGTATCAAGTAACCGTTTGTGTATCGAGTTATGTTGAATTGGCATTTTTGATCAATGCATTTTATCCAGTTATTCTACAGGTGGGCGTTTTGCGATTACTTAATCACTTGCACAATCATTTTTCGGATGACTAAGACGGCACTTAATCAGTTAATCGCTATTAATCATGATTAAGTAATTGTGCAAGAGATTAATTTTTCATATCGAAAAAAAATCGAAGAAAAAGTTTCATACAAAAAACATGTAAATTTTTTGCCAGACTCATTTTTGTTCAACATTTGTTAGGTCTGGCCAAAATTGACATGTTTTTTGTATGAAATTTTTTCTTCGATTTTTTTTTCGATATGATTAATTAATCAATTGCACATTCACTTAATCATGATTAATAGCGATTAAGTGATTAAGTGGTCGTATTAATCATCGCGAATTTTGGGTGTTTGATTAAGATTAA